ATCCTCGTATCCCATCCATTTTGAAATTATACAAAGAAAAACTACCTAATAAACTATCAATAGATTTCTCATCATTATACATATGGTGTAGGAATGCTTTCCCATGCTCACCCCTAATTTGATTTTGAGAGAAAGAGAGAGAGAGTTGAATGTGAATTCCCTTTTTAAGCCAAACATTATGGTACATTGTAAGGAACTATGAATCAAGGAGTAATGCAAGTAATGTATGCCCCCATAAATTGCCACCTTGGTGGGTACCAAGGAGTTTGTGTTTTTTTTTTTTGCTAAATAAAAAAGAGTGGGGGTAAAGGAGAACGTCTTGAGACCATCTTGATGGACCTTCACTGGTGTCATCATGAGGCTTTTGATCGCACCCATTACTCCTCTTTTGGTTTGATCACCATCGGAAAGTACTAGGTAAGAAATGATGATCTAAGAAATGAGGATCAATGATAAAAAAGTGTTACAACTTTCTAAAGGGAAATACTTTGAAATCAAATGATATACCATATGAGTAACAATTATTAAATGAGTGAGTCCCGTTAATTTGTTTTAACGGTTGATATTAATTCAATATGATCCCTATTGATTTTTGATTGTTAACATTACTTCTCCCTATAATTTGATATGCATAGCCCTTGTACTTCATAGTGTGGGTGATGGGCTTATATCAACACTCACCTTTTCGCTGTTCTCTATTTTCTTTTGTCCTTCTCCAACTTCATATGACTTTTAAAGTCGAATTATTTTTTTCAAAAAATCTCAAAAATCGGGTTATCAATATAGAGTTTATCTACAACCTCCAAATTTGTCACTTCCACTACTATTCCTCCGAAGTTTATTATTTCATACATGGACCAAACCATGGCTTTCCATTTCTTATTTTTGAATATTTTTTAAAGTTAAAAGTAATTTTTTTACTTTTGTATTAAAAAGTAGGAGTGTTAATTTTATCTGTTTACACGAACCTGATCATTTATAAAATTCGAGAATAATACGATTAATTGACACGAGTAATAAATATGTCAAATTAAAGTTCGACGTAAGTAACACAATTAACGGGTATGTAGATAAAATATAAGTATTTAACAAGTATTTTAGACATAAAATAATAATTTTATAATTTTTTTAATTTTTAAATAGTATTATATGAGTTGTGAAATTAAATAATTTTTAGTTAACACTAACCCGATATGTACTGAATGTGATCCTATACAAAAATAACACAATCAAAAGTAACACAATACAAAAATAATACGACACGATTGATACCTCTACTTAAAATGACAAAATAAAATAGAATCATATATTTTCGGCCAGGTTTGGTGTATTTTTTGGTTTAAGGCTCTAAATTTTCAGGCAGGTTTGGTGGGCCACCCAACAAAATTCTTTCTTTCTTTTTTGGTATTTTAAAAGCTTTTCCTTTGTGTGGATTATTTAGAGTTTTTTTCCCTTACAGTTTTGGACTGATTCTCATTTCAGTGTTTAAAGTATTTTTTGATTATCTTGTTCTCCTTCTTTCCACAAGACATAAATCAAGTCAAATGAATGGCCATTGTTAAATTTCCACAGAAAAAGACACGGGTTCATCGCGTTATTCTTTCACGATGACACATGATAATTTCTGTCAAGACTTTCATCGAAAGTTATTGATTTGTTAAAATTTGCCGAAAGTTTTGAAAACAACTAATAAAAAAAAATATGATAAAATTTTTGGAATTAAAAAGGACATAATGAACCCTTCCTTTCCAAAGCTAGAATTTACTTAGAGGAATTCACACTGTTTCTTGTTCAATACATCAGGTAGAAATACAAAGTCTTTACAATGTGAACCTATAGCCCCAATCACAAGGTTTTTCTTCCTCATGTGACATGACAAAGACCTTCATTAAAAAGACAAGACTTTGAAGTCGAGGTCTTTAAGGAACTTTCTCTCATAGTGATAGTGATCTGGTGGTCCAAACACATCAATATCGATATAATGGTGACACTACACGATGTTATCATTAATATTTGATATCATTATTTAATAATAAATTAATAATTGGATCAAGTGATTGATGACACCATATAGACATGGTAGTTAGCAAATTAAATGGGTCTAATTAATTATATGTTAGTTTATTATTAATTGATGATATCACATAATAATGATAACGTGAAGTCGTCGTTATGACTCAATATTTTTTTTAAGCACACACCCAGACAGCGGAGTTTTAACAAAGGGATTAGTCTCACATCATGCGTTGAATGATATGCATTGGTTTCGCATTACCCCGAATTCATAAGATTGTTAGATTGTGAACGAAAAATGATAATTTGCTAAGGGGCGCTAAAATATTGCACGACCCTATTAATATTGTATGAAATTAGAGATTTGGGTCTTTTTGAAGTAATTTATTTCGTAAATGAGTGAGCTTGATGTAACACGTTTAATAAACGAATTAGGCACGGGTGAAGTCAATCAATAAAAATACATGCGAATGTCCACGGGTCGGATCGGGCTAGCTTGCGAAATTATTTTTTAGACTGGGTCTGGTTAGTGTAAGCCCAAATTTTTATCTAAGTGAATTATTAGTCGGGTCGAGCTTCAGATAAGGATAGACTACTTGCAATCCAACTTGCCACTCACTGGCGCGGGCCTTGCGAGCAGGTTTGCTGGGTTGGCATTTTTTATATATATATACAATTTCATTTAAAATATTTTCAACGTAATATTTTTTTAAAATTATATATTTAAATTAAAAGTAGAGTTAAAATAGATAAAGAATAAAAAATAAATAATATTATTTAAATAAAATAGAGTCATATATTACCACAAAAAATATATATATATTTTTTGTAAATATACCATTAATATTATAATTTAAAATTTTTAATATAGTACTAAAAATATCTTGGATCCCATTATGAATTGAATAACTTTTCACATTAACTGGTTTAAAGACATGACGTGACAACCCTAATAAGACCTCAGCGCTTACCTAGTACGAATAAATTTCCATGTATAGCATTACTGCCTTAAGCACCATTCTCCTTGGGAGAAACGTGGGGTCTGTTGTGAGGGTTGGTAGGATTTACAATGATTTTGTTGGAATTATAATAGTAGGAGGAAACAGGATAGAAATTCTTAGGAACTAGACTTTTTTTTTTATAAAGAAAGATTGTTAAAGTTACCGCCAAGTAAGAATATATTGAATTTTAAATGAGTAAGAAAAGAATAGAAAGAGAAGTAGCACTAATAAGAGATAAATTAAAGAATAATCGACTTAGGTGATATGGTATCTATTGACGGTGAGAATATATGACAGAAAAAGGTCAAGATTAATTTTAAATAAAATAGTTAAGAAAAATATAATAACATATGATTTAACAAAAAATATGACAATTAATGGAGTACAATGATAAAATAGAATTCAACAAATCCGGCCGCAAAAATGTTAGAATAAGGCTTTGTATAATTAAGTTACATGCATGTAAATTCATTTACAAAGAATAATCATAATACCGTAGATGTCAAATTAAACGTTTAGAGCTCGTTTAATTGACGTATTATGAGAAAATTAAATATTAGATTGTACTATTTTTAATTTAATCGAGCCTAAAACTTTATTTGGTAAGAAAATTTGATACCGTATTAATTTAAAAATTGTTAACTAATTGTGTAATTATCGTACATTTTTTGTACGATAGACTTGTATTATGAAAGTATTTTAATATTATAAAGAGATGTGATATTATAATCCAACTCAAATGTATTATTTCCACATTTACTATTATAATCTTCAACTGATAAAATCAAGTTGTCATCAATGTAATAAACACTGATTGAAGGTATTTTTGTTAATTCAATATTAATATGATAAAATAATTCTCTAATCAAACAACCGATTGAATTAAATAATTACTATCCAACGTTTATGTTGTGTATTGTCAAATACTAGATAAAATTATGTATTATTCTAATACCTTATTTAATTTTGTCTTTTATTCATCTGTATTGTATTAAATTAAATTATTTTAACTAATTCATCAATTTTTAATATGGCAACTAGACAAACCCTTGATATGTTATGTGAATATAGGCAGTCGCAAACCATGTACTTTCTTCTCTCGCATTCTAGAACTTCCTTGGTCATCAATGTTTTAATTAAACCTGGTCTTCTATATGCTAAACAAGCAGAAATAAAATATAGTATATGTTTGTGACCAACTAAGCAGAATCCACCCTAGAAGTGAGAAGAATGCATAAAAGAATTGAAAGAACCAACCTCAACTTGCTTCAACCGAGTGGAAAAACATCGAAAACAAATCAACTCAATTTAAAAAATCTCACTTTAATGTGTATTTTTATAAATTTTGTGAGTGATTTATAATTTTTGTGGGTGCTTTTATCACTTTTATAATATCTTGACGTCATTTTTATTGTAGGTTTTTTTATAACATTTTAGAATTTTTTTTTTACAAAAGATATAAATGATAGTACGATACTGAATTTTTTTTTTCTTTGTAGACTTCTCCGTTAAATACTGCGCCGAATTTTTACTGGGGGGCAGTAGGCGAAGTAGTTTCCACATAGCTGTGTAGAAATTTCGGAGCAGCCACAATTTCCTCCACTTTTTCTCATTTCACCCTGCTCTCTCTGCCTAACCCTTGTACAAATGACCCCTCTACTGTCAGTATAAAACCAAAACCTACGTGAACTCAGTCTCTGACTTTAAGACCCAAGTTTAATATATATATATATATATATATATATATATATATATATATACATATACACACACACATATACCTGAGAAGGAAAGAGAGTAATGGATGATCGGCCATCGGCCACAAAGTTTTTGATTATAACCAGCAGCAGAAGATTTGGTTCAAATTAAGAGCCAGGTTTGATAGATACATAGTTAGAAAGAGAACATAAGCTAGTTGTGTTGAGATTGAGAGAGAGAGAGAGAGAGAGAGCGAGGGAGGGAGGGAGACAGACACAGAGAGGGGTAATGGACGATCGCCCACCTGGTTTCAAATTCTACCCAACAGAAGAAGAATTGGTTACGTTTTATCTGCATAACAAGCAAGTAGGAAGGAGACAAGATCTCGACCGGGTTATACCTGTTGTCGATATCTACGAGTACAACCCATGGGACCTCCCACGTTAGTGAAATTTTCATCAGCTTTATGTCTGATGTTTTTTTTAAGTTTCATGATCCTCAAAAACATGTATTCTTTGGATCGACTGGTTAAATTTTTAACATCCAATTATATGTCTTTAGTGTTTACTCAGTTCTTTCTGTGCAAAATGCATAAACACAGCCTCTTGGGGGAAGTTAATAGCAAGTTCAGAATGACTCGTTGTTTTTCTATGGAGTTTTCGAGTTAATCTCATCCTGACCATTATTTTTTTCCATTTCCTTTGGTTTTCTTTTTCTTTTTTGGATAATATAACTATACAATCTCAATTTTTTTTTTGGCCAAGGTTTGGTAAAAAGCTCTATTTTCTTAACTCTAGTAAAGATAAAAGAAATATTTGAAACTTTAGTTTCCACTTTGTTTATCATCCTCTCTCTCTTTGTTTTCCTAATTAAGCTTGTGGCCTGTGTTCCATGAAGATCTCAAAATAAGCTTTTGATTTACTTTTTTTTCTCTTTTGAATTAAGCATCAAAGACAGTACTAGAATTGATCATGGAATCTCATTTCCATGCTCTTTTGTTTTGGGGGTCAGTATTTGCAGGAGAGTTTTGTCAAGGAGACACTGAGCAGTGGTTCTTCTTCATCCCTAGACAAGAGAAAGAGACCCGTGGAGGAAGACCAAATAGGCTCACGGCTTCCGGATACTGGAAAGCTACTGGATCTCCGGGGTCTGTTTTCTCCGATAATAATCGAATAATTGGAATGAAGAAAACAATGGTTTTCTACACAGGAAGAGCTCCAAGTGGAAGGAAGACTGAATGGAAGATGAATGAGTATAAAGCCATTGAAGGAGAAGCTTCTTCATCAACTAGTACAACTCCTAAGGTGTGTGACTTATTCTAGGTTTACCACCATAACCAAATTGTGAATACGATTGGATCTTAAATGGGTAAATAACATCAGAAAATAACATCTTGAAATTCAATCTCTCTCCTCTTTCTCCTGAATCTTAATGAGAAAATAAACCTCAGAAAATGAGATCTTGAAAACCATTCTCTCTCCTCTTCCACGTCCTCCTCATATATATAGGTGATAAAAACATCGACATTAGCTTGAAAACCTGAAGGACTAAATTGTGTCAACCAGATAGGATATATATACACATACACACAATATTACTATATGCCTCTTTTTAGAATTTCTTTTATCTAGCTATTTCATCCTGATTATATTGTTTATTGATATCATGCAGATAAAGCAAGAATTCAGTTTGTGTCGAATCTACTTAAAATCAAAATCTTTGCGGGCATTTGACAGACGACCTTCAAGAGTGACAAGAGGTGAAGCAATAGTTCACCAACCTCATTGTGACAACGAGGCAACGACATCATTGCTTCAAAACCAACCAATGAGGGAGAGAACAAGCTCACCGGATAGCTCATCGTCAGGAGACCATGCCAATCCATCTCAAAATATCGAAAAAGAAAGTTGGGATGTGCCTGCTGATAATGATCCTTTTTGGGACTTGGAACAGTTCAATTGGTTTGAGTGAAGGAACAACAGAATTGAAGAGGATTTGCAGCTCATATGAGCAAACAACCAACAATGGTGAAACTATTATCAAAACTTAATAAAGACTGCTGACAACTTAGTAATGGTAAAGAAATGTCCCCTTAAACGCAAGAGGAAGCATGCTTGAATTGGCTTACATACATTCGTTTTGTTCCCCGTCAATTCATTCTAGCCAGTCCAATCTCATCTATTAGGAGATGGAGTCATCTTGCTTGGTAAGGAATTTTATATGTAACAGTTGCGCTTCGTGTTGAGGCTTTTTACTCTTCTGACGTTAGCAGGTTAAGTATTAAGTTTAGGAAACCTAATTTATTTTGTACTAAGGTTGATTGATATGTTCAATGTCTTGAAATTAACATTATATATCTACTTCTATCATGGGGAATTTATTTTTTTGGGTTTTCCTTTATCTTTAAGGAAACAATAAGAAAGTAACCCTTAATAGATTTCTTTAGAAAAAAGAAAAAGTCTGATTAATGGAAAAATTGATGAGTTGATGAAGATTCCAAAGTTAAAAGTCATGAAGAAATTTCAATCAGGTTTATCTGCAGATTACTGGAAGAAACCTTTTTGGAAGGGTGATGTTGATTGATCATTGAATTAATGTTAAAAGTATGTCTAATGTGTGGACTAATTCATATAGAAGATAGGGGTTCCTTTGGCAGCTGTTTTTTTGGCAGCTGCAGCTGGATGTTTCATTGGTTGCTGTCTTTGTGACTGTTAGGCTGGTTGCTGTCTTTTGTTTTTCATTGCCTATACACCTTTGTAAATGTTTTCTATATGCAATATATTTTACTTTCCAAAAAAAAAAAAAGATAGGGGTTCCTTTAATGAGTTTGGTTTTCCTCATACTATCGGGTTCTTGTTTTGAAAAATCCTACTTCGACCTAATTTTGGGTACCATCAGGTTGGTAATCTAGTGGTTTGCAGTATTCTTTTTAGGGTCCTCCTTGACTTTCATGAGATTAACAATCAGGGTTCAATTCACATGTATTCCCGCTGCTCTCACTAGCAGCTTTGTGGTGGAAGGGTTAGACTATGGCTTGAGTTGGCTTTTGGGAGCGCCTACGATTTTTCGCCATCTAGGCCATATTGGTGGGCTTCTCTCGTGAGTTCAAGCGGCTATGGTCACGCCCAGGCAGAAGTTCCACCCCGGTTGTCCCCTTGAACCCTTGTTTTTTTACCAAAAAAACTAATTTTTGTGACGTAATCAATTACAAATCTTCGATTAAAAGTAGGCTCCATCTATTATCAGAACTCACAATTAATACAATAATTATGGTAAATTAGGTTTATGATTACGTCCCCAAATTAGGTTCTTATGGCTTTACTCGTCTATTTTCAATTTCACTTAATTGTAGGTTATTTTTTCATATTCAAGTGAGACTCATTATTAATAATTTGAGTCGATCACTTATATACGATTGATGATTAAGAGAAAATGAATAAAAAATATAATGAAGAGAATCTAGATTTAATTCTACAATGAATTCTATCGTATTTTTTAATCTATGTTATGTGCATGAAAACATGTACTAAACCAATGTTTGTTTTAAAAAATATTTAAAGGGTTTATTTTACAAAAATGTGCGTTTTTTTTATTTAGTTTTAAAAATCTTCAGTTTAAGTTCAAACCATATTTTTATAGCTATAACGATAATTTAAAAATTAATGTCAGTTTTTATGTTGCAGTTGCTTAGGGAACCACAAGAATTCTCTATGATAGGTTATGGTACAAAAAAATAATTCATAACCATGAATGTAATTGATTCAGTTGAAAATGTTGATCACAAAAACTATAAATTAAAATAAAATAATAGAATTATTGAATTATTGAAAATAAAATAATTGATTTTGAATGGAAATGCTTCATTTACATATTTAGGTTAGGGGTTAGATTATGATAGTGAAAAAGTTACCTGTTTCGTTATGTTTTTTTTAATTTAATCAAAACATGGAATCGAAAAAATTATCTTATTAATTACATTGTTAATTACATTATTTTATTTATTCTGTTATTTTTATGATTAATGACTAGAAATAATTCATATGAAGTTCTACGCCTAAGAGTTATATTATAAAATTTTTTCCAAAAGTTTATTTTTTGATATTATAACTTTTTTCGCAAGGTAAAAGTTACGAACGATAAAAAGAAGTATGAACATAAATGGTTTTACTCAATATACATATATTGAATCAGGCTCGTAACATTCGTATCAGAACAAAGAGATCTTACTATTACACAAACATCCATCATGTGTCATTGGGGTTTAGTTTCGATATTGTTGATGCAGAATTTGTAGCAAGCTTCACGTCAGTTTGTCAAAACTCTGATCACTTGCAAAGGAAATTGGAGATCAGAGACGGAGTTTTGGGATTGAACCTTTGATGCTTAAGTCAGAATGTGACTCTCTCATTCGTTGGTCAGCTTGTTTAGACTCTTCTTGAGTGAGGGGTTCTTAACTCCTTTATCTCTTTACGAAAATGGCGCTAGCTGTGTTTTTTTTTTTTAATGAGGATCTATTTGATTTTTGAATTACTTGCAATCATATCTCTTGATTTTTCCTCGAGATTTCTACTATATGTGGGCAGAGCGGATTACCAAGCCAAGCGTAACTCAGACCTCTTCCTCTCTATGCTAGAGATCTGTAACTCTTTCAACTGTACTCTTTGTGCAGGGCTACTCATGTCAGAGTTCCTCCCGAGATATTTTTTTAGTGAGCTTATATTTTTTCCTCATCATACAGGATTACAAATGTAAACTTATACTACTATTTTTTTTTCTTCCAAATGTAGGCTTTAGGATGTAAAGAGAACCACTATGATGTTCCAATATGAACATGTACATGTCCCGTGGTACATCCACGATGTATATTCATGTCATCTTCTTTTTTTTTCTCTACAAAGAACAAGAAGTGTGGTCTGAGCACTTGTATGTAACTCGTGAGCCCGGCTAAATTCATAAGCAAGCATCTGGCCAAGTTAGCAGCTAGGCGAAGTCAGAAAAAAGTTTTAGGTTGGATATATTAACAAGTTTTAATATTTTTTTTAATTGGCTGTAGAATTTCATAAATTTATAGTTTTTGAAATTATATTTAGTTCTTAATAGTTCAATAAACATAGAAATTTAAAAATCGATATGCATAGCATGAATAAAAAAAATAATAATTAAAATTTTTTTTATCAAGAAAGAGATTAATTAATGTCACTTACAATTGACCCTAACATATTTTTATGATTTGAAAGAGTTATAAATCATTTGGATCTTTTGGTCTTCCCCTTTTCGGTTGGAGGTTCTTCAGGATGATGGTCAGGTGGTTCACTACCAGGTGTGACATTCCTCCTTACCGGATTCAATTTTTGTTTCTTTTGTGTATGCCAGTTGCGTGGCTTCTATTCGGCAGGGTTTGTGGAACGCCTTGATATAGTTTGAGAGCATTCATGATGGTTCGTGGGGATTTCAACGTTGTTGAATCTCATTCTGAGATCTGGGGGGTCATACTCAGTCTTAGTCCGCTATTGATGCATTTTTCTTAGCTTTGTTGTCTAGTGGTTTGGAGCAATGTTATCGGAACCGGACCGGACCGGTTCAACCGTGAACCGGGACCTTGACCGGTCCGGTTCCGTAGTTGGATTGTTTAAGGAAGAAAACCGAAAAGTTGGGCGATTTTTAAAAAAAAATCATAAATCGGCGATTTTATAAAAATCAGTCGGTTTAATGCCAAGTTAAAAATTAAAATACCTAAAATTAAAAATTCAAGCTGTTGTCCTAAATCGTAGAACTGTCTAGAAGAAGGCGACTCCAAGCGACTCCGACAAACTAAGACTTCGATCGATCAGCCACTACGATCGATCAGCCATTACAATCGATCAACCACTGCGATAGATCATCCACTGCGAACAAGCGAACTCAGGCAAGATGTTCTTGATTTGGGTTTAATCTGGAAAGATTTTAAATTTGATATTGATTTTTTTTATGGGCTATGTGATTTTCTTTTAAAGTCATTGTTTATACTTTATAGAGTGGTTTGATTTTTTTTGTTAACCTCCATATATTCAAGTGAAGTTTTCCCTGCGCAGCACTTCATCAAGTTTGTAAATTTGCTTGTTGATATCTTTTTCTATTTGGAATAAACATGAAGAATTGTGCTCGAAGCTTTGATTTTTGATATCAGCTGTTCAAGTTCATCAAGTTCAAGTTCATCAAGAATTGTGCTCGCAGCACTTCATCAAGTTCGAAGCTTGTTCACCAGACTCATGAAACTCTAAGAAATCTTGATGAACATAAGCCTTTCTTGTTCATCAATTTTCACACAGATCTCCCAATACCCAATTAACAAACGTACCAACGAACCAACCGTTGAGCCTTCCAACCTTTTCTCTGTCTACAAATGTTTTTCCTCTCAGGTAAAACCTCAAACACCTGAACAGCAGAACTCCAATTTTTTATAATCTATACACACACATTTATGTATATTTTCCAATTTTTTTGGGGAAATTGATGCATTTGTTCTATGGTTTTGAGTCTTTGAACAAATATGATTGTTTTAATATTTGATGTTTTAGTTTTGGGAAAATTGTGAGAGGAAATGAACCACTTTTAGCTAAATTATTATGTTTTATAATTATTATATATATATTTTTTATTTTTTTTATTATATGGCCGGTCAGACCAGTGACCCACTAGTTGAATCAGTGAACCATTGACCCAGTCCTCTAATCGGTTCGATGATCGGTTCGATTCTGATAACATTGATTTGGAGGATACTGGGTTTGAGGGTACTCTGTTCACATGGACGAATGGACATACCTGGAGGAGATTGGATAGAGTAGTGGTGAATGCTCAGTAGAGTTCTTATTTTTTCGTGTTTCGGGTTGCCCACCTGAATTGGATTTATTTAGATCATTCACCACTGTTGATCTCTAATGATCAGCGACAGAGTAGAGGGCTGAGCCGGTTCAAGTTTCTTCACACTTGGA